CCCCCCCCCCCCCCCCGCTCATTCTTTCACAGGACAGCCAGGCGCAAGACACCCATATCTCCAAGGACCTAATGCTTTCCATAGCTTCTGAAGCTGCCAGACTGTGTCTGTACAACAAGAGACGGACCATCACAAGGCGAGAGGTTGAGAGCGCCATGAAGAATGTTTTATCTGGAGGGGATCCTACTGCTCTCGAAGAATAGAATGGTTTACTGTAACCCCTGTTTTAATGTAACCCCTGTTTTTTTAAATTTATTTCTATAATAAAATATCTAAGTGTACCGTCTGAATAAGTGGGCTTTGGCTGCATTACTGTCTCAGCAGGTTGCATTTGTAATATTTTGACAAATTCAAACTAAGCTTCTTTGGTCGGATCAACTGCCTGATCTATTGGATTGTCTGAACACTAAGTATTTTGAATGTTTGGGTTACAATTAAGCAAAGCAAATTAATGTAGTAAACTGAATGTTTTGTTGTGGCCATTGAAGATTGTTGTGTCCCCCCTTCAGCCAATTACATTTCATGGATTTTGCGGTTAATTCAGTGTTCTGGATTTTCAGGACAGAGCCTGGTACTAGCATTCTAAGCATGGGTGATTTTGGTGCTGTTAAACATGGTGAATGGCCCTCATGTCCTTTTTGCATCTGGTAATTTACTTGAATCCTAAGAGGTGGGTGGGTTTAGACAATCACTTCTCTAAAATATTTACATGTTGGCTATAATTTTAAAGTAAACTATACACGCGTAATTACATATGCTGAGCATGCATTTTAGAAGCCCTTCGTAGCCTCTGTAGCTATGGGCATTGTGGAGAAATTAATCTTCAAACTTAATTTCTTAATTTTTTGAAGAAACTAATCTTCAAAAAATGGAACACGAAAATCGCAGCTCCCCTCACCAGGTCTACTCCAGCAGCGGTGACTTTGCAGCCTCTACTATAAGCAAGCAGCAGGTGCTATAGGAAACAGATTTCATAGTCTCTGATCTTTGAGTATTCTTTGATAATACCTGCAGCTAGAGAAGGTTGATGTGTTGTGAAAGATTCTACTGCTTAAAGGAGAACTGAGGTATGAAAATCACTCATCCTCATAGTTTCAGCTGATGTGTGACAATGAAACTGTCACACGTCGGCTCAATAGATCGGGAAGTGAGCGAACACATACAGTCGCTCACTTCTCGATCATCTCCCTGCAGAGTGTGGGTTCCCCCCTTTCCCGTCTCCGATCCTCTGGCGCTAACTAAAGGAATGGATGGGGGAGGGGGCTGTTACAGCTGGCTCTACCTCTAGATAGGCAGAGCCAGCTGTCAATTTATGCAGCTGGGTGGATCTCGACAGTAATGTCAGGATCCGTCCTGGCTGTGGCGGTCTCAGTATAACGCCAGCTGTAGCTCGTGATATACAGAGCTTTGTTGTGAAGAGATGTCATGAGATGTCACCAGCACACCAATATGGCAAACACGTCAAAGTTCAGTGAATCTTCATTTTTATTTTTCAGAAGTCACTTAAAGTAGTGTCGGAGATCTATATGGTCAGGGCTTTTCCCCATAGTTCTCCTTAGGGTAACGGGAGGACACAAACTAGCGTCCTCCCGTCACCCTAGGCTCACTATACTGAGACGCCGGAGCGGATCCTGACATCGATGTCGAGATCCGCCCAGCTGCGTGAGTGACAGCTGGCTCTGCCTATCTAGAGGCAGAGCCAGCTGTACCCGCTCCCTCCCCCGTCCGTTCCGCCAGTCAGCGCTGGAGGATCGGAGGGGGGAATCCAGCCCCTCCCCTGTCATGGCAGAGAGCCGTGACAGGATCGAGAGGTATATACACAAAAAGTGTGTGTATGTGTTGAATCTTCTGCTACTAAGGTCCAAAGTTGACGAACACCGTTCTAAATTGTGGAGCTTGCTGGTTCTGCAGCTGAACCTGGAAGTAAAGAGTCTAGTAAGAGCACCACATCAATGGTGATGAAGTCTACAACAGTTTGTAATTACTTCATAGTAACATACAATGTTATAGCAGACAATCTGGAGCAGGTTGTGCATGGCAACCAATCAGCTTCTATCTTGAATTTTCAAATCGAACTGAAGAGAAGCTGATTGGTAGCCATGGACAACTGCTCCAGATTCTGTCTGCTCCAGTTTTGATAAAACTTTCAGTTTTCCATGTTTTAAAGACAGGTTTATCCATACAGCAAGTTTCATCCCTCTGGAAATCCAGATATGGTGGCTGCTCTTCAAGGTGTCCTCGTGAGGAATTTGAAACAAAAAACCAAAAGGGCGCAACACTAGGTGGGCTAACTGACCGGGTCAGCAGACACAGGGAAGGTGACAGGGAAAATTATGTGACAATGGGTGCAAAAGGCAAAAAACCAATGGATAGCTGAGGAAAAGGAATGAGCACTTACATTTTAATTCATGGGACCAGCGGATGTCCGGCCGGTGTAAAGCATCGGGTCATCCGTGGTGTCTATCTGGAACTGGTGTGCCGGAGGAGGTGCATCCACACGGGGAGAGGAGGTTGTGGGCGGGGGAGAGAGAAACCACAAGACTGGGGACTCAGTCCGTGGCCCGCTGCGTGAGTCCAGGGGCTGAGTTGTGTGGGAGAGAATCAGCGGTGTCAGAAGCAGGCAGAACTGCTGTGGCCGCGGCTGTGGATCGTGATGCTCGGTCACTGTCGGCGCAGACTGGGGCAGTGTGCGCGAGCCGTGGGCTGAAAGTTGTCAGCTGTCAGTCGGGTCTGAGATGGGAAGAGGGTAGTAGCGGGGTGGAAGGGCAGTGAGCAACGCGGTTCGAGGAGTGATACCTCTTTTTCAAGCTCGAGAAGGAACATTTGTTCACCACCTCAGACGTATATTTACGGATGGGAGCCCGGCGCAGCACGTTGTGTCCCAATCAGAGATATCCCTCAGTCATAGAGCCTCTCTCAGAGGAGGACAGACACTGTAATATGCCGACTGCCAAAATATTCAGAACACTTTCAGATAAAAGTTATAAAAGTGCTTCCTTTATGATAGAACACAGATATCACCGGGCACAGACTGTACCTTACCCAGCCTGGAATATGGTGCTCTTTAAGGGAATAAGCATTATTATTGTAGCTGATTCCCATTGCCTGTTCTGGGCATGTCCCAAGATCAAGCAATCCTGGATTCCAGTTGTACAACAAGCCATTTACATCTGGTTAATCACCTGCCTTGTACCCCCAAAGTGGACACTCATTGGTATAATGGACATTCCTCATACTAAGGTTTCTATAGGGTCGGCAAGATACTTCCTATGGCGGCTTAGCGGCTAAGAAAACTATTCTGCACAAGTGGATTTATCCCGACCCTCTTCACTATTTATAGAACAGTTAATGTATATATTCTGTAAGGAGTGGGTGGAGGCCTCACCAAATAAAGCAATGACCTATGGGGGCCCTATATACAAACCTTAGCTTTTGACACCCAACAGGGTGCAAAGGAGAACTATGGGGATAGGGCTTTTCCCCATAGCTCTCCTTAGGGTAACGGGAGGACACAAACTAGTGTCCTCCCGTCACCCTAGGCTCAGTATACAGCGAGCTACAGCTCGCGATATACTGAGACGCCGCAGCCGGATCCCGACAATTATGCCGGGATCCTCCCAGCTGCCTGAGTGACAGCTGGCTCTGCCTATCTAGAGGCAGAGCCAGCTGTGCCCGCTCCCTCCCCCGTCCGTTCCGCCAGTCAGTGCTAGAGGATCGAAGTGGGCAATCCAGCCCCTCCCCGGGATCCAGAAGTGAGCGAACGCCGGTATGTGTTCGCTCACTTCCCGATCTACTGAGCCGACCTGTGACAGTCTCATTGTCACAGGTCGGCTAGAACTATGAGGATGAGTGAAAAGCACCCACCTCATAGTTCTCATTTAAGTAATGGTTTTGTCTAGGGGGCTCATATAAAGCAGATATACTCACTTGATTCCCGGTCCCGCTGGGCTGCTAGACCGGTTCCCGCAGCCACTTCTCTCCTCGGCTCCAGTGGCCTAGGGACCGCTGATGTCATCACATCTAAACATCTAATGAAAGTCCATTGTCAGCGTTAGTGTCAATGGAGGGAATTCATAAAAACTGGAGCAGTCAGTGTCTGGAGCAATAGCCCATGGCAACCAATCAGCCTTTCATTGTCAAAGAATAAATGAACAAACTGAAAAGATAAACTGGTTGGTTTCTATGGACAACAGCTCCAGATTCTGTCTGCTCCAGCTTTTATGAATTCCCCGACTCCCCCCCCCAAGTGTGTTTTAGGTAAGAGTTAGAAGGGAAAAAAAAAGCTTTTCCATTTGGTGTCAGTAACAATGTCAGTATCAGTGTTTTTATGTACTTTTGGATTCTTTCACCTTTTCTTTGGTGCCCTTTATTTCTGAATTAAGGCAGAGTTACCTGCCAAAGCGTTCCCCTCCACCGCTGTGATGTCAGCGCCCTCCCTCCCTCGCCAGTGCCTTCCGCCACTCCATTGGCCGGGCTCAGATGATGTATTTCCCACGCATGTGCACAGGATTTACTTTATTTTTACAAGGAATTCTTCAGACTCTGTGTACTGAGGTTTGCATGTGCAGCTCAGTGTACAAAGCAGGCAGGAAGACGGATCTATACATCCTCCTTTCTGTCATAATGAGTCTGACAGCACGTTTAATAATATCTCTTAAAGGAGAACTATGGGGTCAGGGCTTTTCCCCATAGTTCTCCTTAGGGTAACGGGAGGACACAAACTAGCGTCCTCCCGTCACCCTAGGCTCAGTATACCGCGAGCTACAGCTCGCGGTATTCTGAGACGCCGCAGCGGATCCCGACATCGATGTCGGGATCCGCCCAGCTGTGTGAGTGACAGCTGGCTCTGCCTATCTAGAGGCAGAGCCAGCTGTACCCGCCCCCTCCACCGTCCGTTCCGCCAGTCAGCGCTGG